ATGGATGGCTCTACAGAGAACAGCACAGAGCAAACCCGAATACCGATAGAGCACAGGACAGTCACAGCCCAACCCACCTTTGTGCTTGTCCTTCCTTAGCTCCTGTAAAAATACTCAAAGTCATTGTTGCACTGATTTATTAATATCTTCCTCTATCAGAAAAAGATATTTGGTTCCTTTGTCATGGTTTAAATTTATTTTATTATTATGTTTTTTTACATTAGATGCCTCATCTGGAGCTTAATTGTTCATGAGACATTTAGCAGTATAATTTCCTATTCCCTAGTTCAATTCTTGCTCCAGTTTCTTCCTAATTGCTCCATCATTAATTTTACTTCTCTCCGTAGCACCAGAGGAAGTACTTACCAGTCTCTGCATCCCCACTAAACTCAGTACTCCATCCAGGAGCAAATTTCACTCCAAAGATTCAAGCAGGGGGTCTCTTTGTTCCCCACACCTTCATTTTCTTATACTCACTAGGTAGAGTGGCTGTGAAAATCTTCAGTATATTTTTGGCTATGACAAATAGCTGTGTTTCACACCTCTTTCCTATTAGAAGTAAAGGTGTGCAAAAGCATTAATGGCATTTAGATTAGAAAATACAAATGATCTTAAGGCTCACCAACCTTCCAGATTTCTGAGCTGAGCTTCAAGCAGCATGCAGCAGCCATCAGGAGAGGAAACCACCCCCAGCTCTCCTGAGATGTCAGCCTTTCTTTGCAAGAAGGACAAAAAGATCAAATCCAACCTTCAGTGCTGTGGATGGTCAGACACTCCACTTTCTGCTTCCTGCAATTCTTTTTGGTGCTAAAAATCCATTCCAACATTTTCCATTAGAGGTTTCTCCGAAGTCTCAGTCCAGGATTAAATTGGCCTCTATCCTTCAGCTGGATTCCAGCCTTATCAATTCAATTAAATACTTCACTCCTTTCAATTCCTTACATAGGGAAATTACTTACTTGGGGTACACAGTCCCCTCCGTCTGACATTTCTTATATTCATGGAGAAGCAAATCAAAAGAAACCTAGCTTTTCAATAGCTACCTAAAGTTAACTAGAAAAAAATAACCTATAATGCATACTGAGGCCTTGAAAAGTGCTAAGAGCTTTGTTTCAACATATTATAAGGCTTTTATCATTGAGTACTGAAAGCCACTAATTCATGAAGATCCATGCCTGACAAAACTGTGAAACAAAGGGTGATTTACTGAGAAGAGAGCTCAGCAAACCACGCAGTCACTTCATCTTTAAAATACCATTCTTTCATCCCTTGTTGAACTGTGCAATCTTTCTATTGAAAGGGAAATTGATATCGTTGATTAAACACAACAAAAGCTATTCCATTGGAAACCATTACTAAATCTAGCTGCTGGAAAAATACTTCTTTTTGTAAATCAAACCGATAAAATTCAGTTTAGTTTCTCATAGCTAGGCACAACTACAACACACAGTACAAGAAGCAGAGAATTGCACATTCTACCAAGGAAACATACAACATTGATTTGAAAAAGCCCCTCACATCCCTGCTTGTTTCTCATGCATGCATCTCTCCACAGCCAGCAGTTTGCCGGGGGCTTGTATTTAAGTGCAACATTTGAATGGCTCTTGGTACTATCAAGAAGATGCACACAGCAGCACTCACACAAGGGTCACAACCCCAGGCACAACCAAACTGCCAGCACAGTGCAGTTCTTACAGGCACAGCCCTCAGGCTCTGCTGTGCCTGTGGGCCTTGTCCCACACCACTTACAGCCAGCACACCTTATACTGAAAGGAAATTCAGCAGTGCTGCTGCTGGAACTAAAGGGCTATTTTTCAACATTAGCAGCACCATTCCACCCAAGCACTGAATTCCTCTTGCAGTGGTTTTTATCAGTCTCACTCTCTCCGATTTACAGTTCTAAATAGTCAAGGGATCTTTCTTAGAGTCTTTACTTTTGCAGTACTGAAAAGATTATGATACTCCAGAATTTATCTGGTAGACCAGATCACTTTTCACAATTCAGAAGACATAAATAATGCCTACACTTCTTAAGTTAATTTAAGTAAATTGGATTTGGTATGCCACAAGTTTAAATCTCACCCTAAAATTAAATCAGTCTTCATTCAGCTTTCAAATGTGCTAAATTGTTCGGATGTTCTAAAACTCTTCTTCCTTAAGGCTTCTGAGTGGAATTCTACATTTATTTAATAAAGCAGCTAGGATTTACTATACTGGTAGTGGTAAGCACTTTTTACTTTCCTCATGACAGATTGGAGTTGACTGTATACTTTTTTTTGCTACAACTGCACAAGATTACAAGCCACAATTGAATTACCAAACTGAGGAAAATAAAGATTATTCCTGTGGGTGCAATGCAGGTTGCAGACTTGTTTTCCTTTAAAGAACTGTTTAAAGAATTAGCAATAAATGTTATCAACTGCAGCTAGAAAATGATGCTGACTTATTACTTTGTGGTCATCCTAAGGGGCATCATGAAAACCAAATTTTTTAGCTGAGGTTTCCAGAAGAATAAAAAGAAAGAAAAAAAACTAGCAATGCCTTTTGAACACCTTACATTTTAGATTTACACTATAGGCAAAAAGACTGAGCTTACAGAGCTCACAGGCAACCCTGCCTTGCTCCTGAAGATGCACAGCCCTGCAGTGCCCAAACGGTTACTCATTCATTTACAATGGGTTTCCATTGCCACTGGGAAGGTATGAGATGACATTTCTACCGACAGCCTCTCGTAACAGCACAGGACAGACAAATTTCTCACCTTCGGTGCAGACCTCCAGTAACACACGTGCACCCCAATAGGTGAGGGAAGCACTGAACCCTCCTGTACTCATCTCATGCATATTGGATTGAGTGCTGTGCTGATCTGGACAGGTACTGCTACTCCACAGATAATCCCCTCATTATCTACCACCCAATGACCAAGTGCCTTTCAGGATAACAGCGAAGTCTAGAAGACACAAACCCAATGGAAAGCAGAATATAAGTTAGATGGCTCTAAGCTGATGCAATATCATGGTGTTCCCATAGGCAAGAATGCTTTTGAAAAGCATTTTCTTGCTACTTTTTGAAGCTTGCAGATGTCTGAAGGAAAACAAAGTCGTTTTTTTCCTCCATGAAAGGCACTTGCTACCTTTTGTCCAGCTCTACTGAACAGGTCTCTCATCTTGAAATCCTTAGGGTGTATGCTCAGCAAAATTCTCACTTAATGGTGACTTGCTGACAAATCACCAGAGCTTAGAAATGTTCACAAATGTTATCTTGCATGCCACCTTTACTGGAAACGCCATTCAAGCCAATTCTATGTCTTAGCCAAGACTGATATTGACAGGAACAAAAATCTCACAGCTTTTTTCATCAAATGTATGTGCATAAAATTCAATACAACTTACACAAACTGGTAGCATGGATTACAGTCTGCAAGCCGGAATACTGAACTCAGCCTTTTCTCAGTTTCTAACATTCTCATTCAAAGTCATACACCCTCAGCCGCCTAAGAGCCCTAAAGAAAAGTATCTTCCATACTCATGCAGTTAAATAATTCCCGTTCAAAATGTACATGACAGCTGAATCACACCCGGTGAGTCACTGTTTATAATAGACTAAGCCTAGACTATCTGACTTAGCTGTCTTCCATTCAGTACAGCTAAGATAGATGGTCTTGGTGCTATCTTCTCCAGAAACCTTTATTCTTCTTGCAGGAATCCAATTAAGTGGGCAACAAAAACCAGAATGCAGGATGGTGCAGTAGAATTCTCCTCTCTTCTACAGCACTGATCGCCTTAATATTCCCATGTTTTACACAATCGTTCTTCAGGTCTTTTCTTTATTTGGGTCACAGTTTTGCTTTCTGGAACCAGAATCTATTTCTCCCAAAGAAATGAGCAGTGCTGTTTCTTTAAACGTGTACATCAGGTTATCTTCTCCCTTTTTAGCTATAAAGCTGCAGAGCACAGATGTGCCTTGATTTTAGTCTGCTTTGCCGCATAATTGCATGCCTTCAACTTGAGAAATTTAGCCTTGCTATTTACTCAGAAAACCTTTCTTAACTTTACTGTCAAGACAATGTTAATAAAGCCTGCCTTTGTTTGAGAATATGCTCACTGTAAATAGAGCTTCACTTAAAAAAAAAAAAAAAAAAAAAAAAAAAAAAAAAAAAAAAAAAGATTAAAAAAAAAAAATCTATATGTTTAAACAGGGTAAGATTTAAGGAGGGCCTAGGAGCATGTCCAGCTGCCATAAACTGATCAGAACTTACTCAGAGGGCCCCAGCAGTGGCCCAGCACAGACCTCCCTTCTACCATCAGGTCTCCACAGTGCCATCAGAGCACAGTTTTGTTATGCCAGTGGGAATTCAGCTCGTTTTTGCGTGGGTCAGCGTTCATACCCACATTTGCCCTCTGCACCACAAACAGCCCAAGGGTAGCAGTAAATTCTGGCATACAAGTGGGTACAGAAACAAAGCTGCTTTATTAGTCGGTCTCCAGTGCTCTGCTCTATGATTCTACATCTAGATTCCTCCAGCAGGATGAAGGCCATCAGATTTCAATACTGTAGCCTCAACAGGACAGGTCGGTACCATGCATGGTAAAAAAGTATCACATGTAGGAGCAGAACAGGTCAAGCAGGGCACCAAACTGCACAGCAGCTCAAGAATGTGTTTGGGTTAACTCAGGTTACATAGAAACCAGCTTTGTCACATTTCCACCCCCCTTGTGGTTATTTGTTCCCCACATCAAACACCGCAGGAAATAAGGACAAAACCAAACCACATTCCCCCTTCAGAAATGAACTTTTCTTAGATCATTTCCAATTCCGTATTTTTTTGCAGCTAGTCTGAACCAGAAGACATAAGGAAAAAAAGGGGGTTGAGGGTCAAGGAAATAACCTATTAAAAATGAGGAAAGTGGCATTTTCCCTTCCCCAAACTGCAAAGATTAAAACAGCGACTGCTTCCATCAGACACCTTAGATCACAGCAGAACAAGCAGACTGTTCAAGCCACATTTCCATCATCCTCATCATCACTTATATAATGGGGACTGATTTTATCATTGTTCTTTGCACGTTTCCCTTAGTGCTCTTGGGTAGGAAAGGTTTCCCCTCATTGGCAAACAGCAACAGATAAATAACTTCAGCTCAGCATCCAAGACAATGTCTTTCCTCAAAGGAGCCATTTCCATCTGCTCAACAATAGCACAAAAAATACGATGTTGTGGCATGTGCCAACCACTGCATTCTGTCACTGGGGATCTTCTTGTACGCACTTTGTGTCAGCTGGTTAACAATGCCTTTAGAAGACAAAGAGTTTTAATATTATAAAGAGCTCTTGCAATATGATGGGAGACTGTAATGAACTGCTAAGGTAAAGCATATTACTGACTCAGAAACCCTTATAAATGGAGGAGGAAATAGATCTGCTTCTCTGCCTCAGCCCATATTTCCTATTAATGGTTTAGGTGCCTTCTTGTGATTGTGACATACTGCTTCTTGCATTTATCTTCTCTACCCTAAATCCTGCTTGTAAAAGTACTGCATGTACCACAGACCTGCCCTTCTGGGGGCTTACAAAAACAAAGTTAAGCTAAAAATGAATATATAGAGTTGATAGCTAAGGTTGAGATTCAGGACACTTAAAAACCATCTAGTTTTTCTAGGAAAACGAATGCAGTAACAGATCTAAATAATAAGGAAGATCTAAACAGTAAGGAAGAGGAGACCAGCAATATGCCCTTCATTCCAAAACACCATTTCAACAATTGCCTTACATCAGAAAAAAAGAGCAGCTCAGCAGAATGAATGGGGCTAGCAGCAGTGAGGGGCAGTGAGAGCCCAGGTACAGTGCTGGGCCTGGGAATGGGGACTGAATCACCTCCAGCACTACCTGAAATTGACATAATGTAAAACAAATGCATATAAATAAATAAAATGCAACCCTCACATTTTCCTTCTCCATAATTCAAAGCTAGCTTTTCCTTCTTTCATAAAGAAAAAGCTGCTTGGGAAATGCTTCAATCTGCTTTCTGCTACCTGGGTTCTTTTAAACAGCACCAGTTCGGGCTCCACAGCCATGTGCCACCTCCATGCTCTGTGCCTCCCAGTAAGCAGGGCAGAGCTGCTTTGACGAAGGGTGAATGCAAGGGAACAGAGCAATGCCTGCCTCTGCTACAAAACAACACCTGAGCAGGGAAATAAGTTGGTTTTTTTCCCTCCCTCAGTTTCATAATCAAACACGGATCCAAAATAAATGAAATACAGAGAAAGAGTTGAAAATAAATGGAGATCTCATTTTAAGGAGATAATAAGAATGTATGCACCACACTTAGCCAGAAACTTTTGTCATGTGCTCATGCTTTTCTGTTCCAGCCACAGAGCTGATGCTGCAGCACGGACGCAGGAAGACAGCGGCAAAAGGAATGCACAGAGAAGAAAAGGAGCAGTTCCCAAGCCCAGATCCTTCTGCACGAGGTGACCTCCTCTGAGCAGCTCTGCTGGGAGAAACTCCTATCAACACAACAGCAGTGTGGGATCAGAGAATGGGAGAGCTCTGCAAGGCAGCTCTAGCTGTGGACAAACTGCCACTGCTGCTCCTGCTGAGACCTTTGACCAGGAGCTGTGACCTCACACACCTCACTCTGCTGCTCCCAGCCACTGCTCCGCGCTTCTCCCCTTCATCAGCAGCAGAACTGGGCAGGAAATGTCATTTTAGAGGCAGAGGAGAAAAATGTAGGGCATTTCTATCAAAATGCATCTCTTAATCGAATAATTTCCTAGACTCTGGTTCAAGTTTAAATATCTGTTAACAACTCAGAAGCAAGAGGAAACGCTTTGCCAAGGGGAAATCAAAAGTATATTAAGAGCTGAGTATTACTGATGATGGCAGCTTTAAGAGATCATAAGTTTACAGACTGAAGGAGTTGGATACGTTTGATCATTCCAAAAAGTACACAGACACTTTTAGTACCATTCCTCTTCCATCTGTGCAGGAGCAGCATTTCAGTTACATTTCACAGATATCAGTGGCTAAAGTGAGCTTTGAGATTTCACTGATTTAATACAAAATAGAGAAGTGCTGACGTTCCCTTCTGAAATCAACTCCTATGGAAAATAAATTTTTCATAATGGCATGCATGTTATGTGCTGCAATCACAGAATGTTTTTTATGTATATACATATATACACATTTATTTGCTGTAGCAGTCGTACATTTTGATCTCTCATAATGGACATTTTCAAATGTATTTTTTAGAGAAGTAAATCATTTGCCTTCCTGCCACGTCCTTCCACATCCACCCAAACTGCAGTGCTCTGTGCAGAGACTATAAGGTCTCAATCAAACAACCTCCTCCTCATCTGACCTATCCATAGGAATGTACCCATATGTACCCATCTCACTTTCTGAAATTCAAAAAAAAAAAAAAAAAAAAAAAAAAAACCACACAGAGCCAAAACACAAAATAGGAATTTGAGAACAATTCTTTGCCAGTGATGCTCAGAAATTGTAATGGAAGCATCAGCCATGAGCAGACTTCATATCACTGAAGGGCAAGAGGAAGGAAGGTTTCATTAGCAGCTCATGAAAATCATTTTCAATTGATATTCAGTTTTAATTGCACCAGAGTTTAATGCCGATGGCAAAACCTAAAGCATAGATCTCATCCAAAATCCTTCAGAATCAATGTGATTCTTAACATTAACTTCCTCAAAGCCAGGATTTCTGCCTAATTGCTTTCAAATAAAATGCATAGGTTATTTCTAGATCACTCTGATTACCTCTAGGATTCCATCAGACTGAACCAGGACAGCACGCCTGCCTCCCAGGGCACTTTCTGTGAATCCCAAAAGCTCATATCTTGCATATAATAATTATATCCTATAAAAAAATAGCATGAAGTGACTTCCAACATCCAAAGGTCAAAAATTCAGCTAACATATATTAATCTTTATTATGTAACAATGACATAATCAATGAGTTTGTGAGCTTCTTATGACCTGTACAAAAAAGATATTGCACCATATGAGGTACTGCCTATTTGGATTCCAGATTTGTTACGCATACAATCTAACATTATATACAGTTGTGGAGTTAAGGCAAAGCCAGATGATACCTGTAACACAAGAGAAGGTTTGAAAAATGGGCATAATTACAAACAGGGGGACACATTTCCTGCTAATAAAGCATCTGTGTCTAAGGAAGGGATCCCTCAGGTTTTCAATACAGCATTTATTATCAATCACATTACTTAAAATTGAAAATTGTGAGATTTCCTGAAGAGCAAAGCTATCCTGAAAATCACGCCTGGATGATCACCTCTAACCCTGATAGGAGTGTTTTTCTTAATGGCTATCAGCTGCTCTTTGTTTTTGGAAAACTTACAGATCCCACTAAAATCCAGCCATACCTTCTCAGCTTTCTGCAGGCAAGATGCAATCACAGCCAGTGACAGAGCATAAATGTATGGGTGAACCATCCAAGACACTACAGCAGAGGAGAATTAAAGTCAGTCACTTAGCATAAATAATTACCTTTCTCAAGACAATGGAATGAGTCATGTTAGCTAAGTCCCAGTGACAGAAACATGTATGACCAATATACCAATATACAGTTCTTTGGCAGCAACACACTAACTCTTGATTGAAGAACGAACTCAAATTCTGATAAATTAAGGACCTGGTTTCCAGTCATTTTACAATTAAAGAAAATCCACTTCTCTCACAAATCCATAAGTCCAGTAAACGAAATCTGAATAAAATGTGCAGGCAGCTTTAGACCGTAACATTAAGCACAGGTATTTATCGTCTGCTTTAGTCTCAATCCAAACATATTGTATTCAAACACACAAAATTCTGTGAAACTTCTGCGTAGTTCAGATGAGGCCAAAATCCATAAAGAGAATCCATATTCACCCATGAAAAACCAATAAGGAAACATCAATCCCACGATGACAGAATGATCTTCGTGTGACAGGGGCAATGACGACTCCACAACCGGACAAACGTCACAGGAAAATTGACTTTACAGTGGAAAGACCAGAAAGCCAGAAAATGTAGAATATTGCCATCCACCAACCAGATTACCTTTCTCCAACTTCAGGTAAACCTTATCCTCCTTGTCTAGATAGAGCAGGACTCCATTAGTGGCAGCTTCACGAGTGACATCCTTGTCCCCAGCAAAAGCAGAGATGACTGGCTTCCCATTGAGCATCAAGTTAACCTGCATGAGAAAAAGCACTGAGAAGCTCTAATTAACAGCAAAAAAAAAAAAATTAATCAAATATCACTGAATATTAACTACAGTACCACAGGTATGTTGTGGACAAGCCCTTTTGTTTCCTGGCCTTGATCTGCAGCTGACAGCGATCAGTGGGACACCATCCCAACTGCAAGGCTGCGGCTCAGAGTGAAGGATAACTGGTTGCATGTGCTGTCAGTTATTGGCCAGGCAGCACCCTTTGTGCTCATTGTCTGGTAACATGGACCTGGGAGCTCCGTTTTGCTCCACTTCACCCATTTCGTTGGTCATTCAGACACATTCAGTAAAGACAACAATTTCATGAGACTTTATAGGCACCTGGAGATGCACTATAGGCACTTAATTACATTTCAGAAGTCCCATAGTAGAGTGGAAGTTTACGCTCCACTGAGAGTAAAATAAACATCCCTTCTATCAGTAGCTGCATTTTAAAGTCTAGAACAGACCTTCAGCTTTATGAGCAGCTGCATTTTGATAGTGAACTCATTCTTCCACAGAACACTTCTGAAGTCAGCTCAGCCCCTGCCCCAAATGCATCACACAGGTTCTGTGTAAATACCCACAGGCAGGGCCAGGGGCACGGGCAGGTCCACTCACCTCCACTTCTCCAGAGGCAAATGTTAGTTTTCTTCTTTTTAAACAGCAGTCACAGAGGGGTGAAATGCCTGTTCAAGAGGAGTATTCTGGCCTTGCACACATTCCCACCAGTTTTAACAGGAGTCACAGCAGAATAAATTACTACTCAGCAAAAGTCAGGCAGCAGAATCTGGCACTGATTTGGGATTCACTTATCGGGGAAATCCACTTAATCAGATGTCCCCAGGGAACCAATTTGAGCTTAATGATAGTTAATGGCACTAACAGATGTTTCAGGGGCGCAGTGGTATCACTTACAGGAGCCTTCTGCCAAGTCAGCGGTGTTTAAGGCTGCACATGGCTGGAACTCAAGCTGGTTTGCTCGATGGCAATGCTTTCAGTCCTCCCTATTGCTATCACAACATGCTGTGCACAAAAGGACACCAAGAGTTTGCTCATGGCTAGGCTTGGCTTTCTTTGTTCTCTACTGGGCTGGTTTCCTGCAGGGCCCCTCATCAGGATGCACACTGCAGCTTTGCCCCAGGTGGCCTCACGTGAACTGTGCCAAAATAGAGCCAACCAAACCCACCCATCACTTCTGAAAAACTTCATTGATGAAAGATGTACAGATGTCACATGGCAGGCCATGATGTTCTCTGTTACACACCCCAGCTCCCAGGTTTGAGTACATGGCAGTGAAACACCAAAGTTTGCCCTACACTTCCAGAACCAAAGCCCTGATGTCTTTCCTGGCAACATGTAGTTTAAACCCAGTAACAAGGGCTGATATCCATCATTCCAGACCATTTCAACACTTGGTATTCAAGAGTGAAAGGAACCAAATCAGAGTTTATTAAATAGTCCATTACAGGGGAGCTGGTGATGCCATTATTTCATCCCAGATTTTATCTTTGTCTTGAATGAAACAAAGACTCAAAGCTATAAGCAGGGATGGCCCTCCAGGTTCTCTGCCTTCTCCACCATTCACACCTTTCAGTACTGGCAGCCCAAAGCCAGGGCTGCACACAGGGATCACTCCTGCAGAAATCAGCTTTGTCTCAGCCCTGTCACATGAAGAACATATCCAATGGCAAGACAGGTCAGGGGAAAAGCATCAGATTCTTCTGTGGATCCAATGGCCTCATAGGTGGAAACAAAATGTTATTCTACATCTAGAAAGCCAGTACAAACATCACAAGCACTGCACGACCTGGGGCAAAGATTAAGGAACGGGCTTTGAGCAATTTGCTTTTGGCTTAGCAAGGAAATGTTCAGGAACTTAGAATAATTTATATTTAATTATGTAGTTCAGCTGCTAGTAAGCTACAGAAAAAAAGTAGAATTACACCATTTTTTAGTACATGAGGCATCTTTTATGTATTGAATGGGTAAGCAAGTTTAAACTGCTATAAAGGCTCCCTACAGAGATATAACATTTTGGTTGTTGCAGAACAAACCAACCACTTCAGCCTTGGTACACAGCAGGCTGGGTTCATGAGCATCCATCTGGCACCATGACCTGGCAGCCAGGTGATGAGATCCTACCAGAACAGACAGAATTGTTACATATCAACACTGACTCCTGTAGCAAAATACCATTTTTCAATAGTATTTAGGCAACCAAGTGAAATTTAGAGATATATTTTACTCAGTCCATTCTGTTTCATACCCCACACACCCAGATATCTGGTTCTCACAGCAAAGCTGCCCAATATATCTCAGCTGAGGATCCTGCCTCATTACAGCTGTTCGATTTAAATGTATTCACCCTGCTGGGAGCTGTACACCACAGGTTGCTGTAAACTAAGCTATTCCTCTTCAAGAGTGTACGAAACACTCCTGTGTTCAGGCTAGATTCTATTGTGAATAAACAATTCAATGAGAAGATTGTATAGGCGTACCTGGATTGTTTGGCTCTGGTAGACTTTAATCACGTGAAAACTGAAGCTGTAAATTCCTTTTCTGGGTGACACAAAGACAGATTCCAATGTGAAAAAATTGCCCACGTTTACTAGGATCTACAAACAAAAAGTACAGATGGGAATTAGCACAGGCATTCAGCAGTACTCAAAACACAGACTTTCAACTGGAGAAACTATTCACCCAAGGAAAATTTTCCATCCACATTTATCTTTTTTATTTATTGTTCTATCAACTCACATGGAAATATTACACATAAAATGGATGTTAGTTCTATCTACAGTGCAGCCTTACGATAAATAAGCTGAGGGGGAAATCTTTCTTACTTTGCTACATCTCACACCTACATGACCTTTATTCTACACATTTAGAGGATATTGGCAAAAGTCATTTTTGTTCATCATCCCCCCAAAATGACATCAAAACACTGATTCTAGGGGTGGCACACCGGTTTGGGATACAAAGCAATGGCCAATTCTACACCTTCCTGGAAGTATCAAGCTGGAAGCAAGAATGTATGGGAACATTACAGTTCATTCAGTGCTCAGTCAGATGAGCTCCAGGAATGCCTGGTGGATGAGCACTGTCTGGCCAGGAGCCTTTGCTGCCCTCTTTATGTAAGCACTTATTGTAATTTGGGTCTGGTTAAACAGAGTCAAGGAACAGAGGGGAATACACCAAATAAGTGCATCATCCGTATGATATCTCCTTTATCCGTATGATATCTCCTTTAGTTCCTACTTTTTATTTCATCCCACTTAATTATACTCTATGTTTAATTGATATTTTTACAGAAAGCCGTTAGGAATGCCCACAAAGTTGGGGTGATGCAAACAGCATAAAGCTGTGCTACAAGCCTGGCTCCAGCTGTCACCACAATTTACTGTTCATTATGATAGCAGACAGAGACTAAAGCGAGCATCAGCATCAGTTACCTGCCCTAGGGCAGGAGCTCGTATTAAACGCGTGCTGGTATTTGTATGTGATTGAGATGAGAGGGGCTGGGCTACGAAGCCGTGATTTTTAGAGAAAACTTCAATGATTTTTTCCCTGCAAATCTTTCCTCTTTCCCCTTCAGAAGGCTGTGCACACCCACTCCGCGGGCTGCCCCGTCTCCGGGGGCGGGGAGGCAAAGGGAGAACAGCGGAGCGCAGTGCTGTACGGGGCTGCACCCCTCCCGCTGCCATCCAAACTCCGGTGGGAAATAACGGCGGACACGGGGGGGGGGGGGGGGGCGTTGGCACCTGTTGCGCGCAGCGCGGCCCCGCGGGGCCCCCAGCTCACCTGGTCGAAGTAGATGATGCGCGTCTTGTTGCTCATCTCGGAGGGCTCGTGGTTGGTGCTCCTGACCGCCGAGAAGGCGACCTTCGAGTTGGCCGCCCTCACCGAGATGCCCAGCGGAGAGGAGGACGAGCCCTTGGCGTCGGTGGTCGGGTTGGAATCGCACACCACCAGGCACTTGCCCTCCAGGACGATGGGCTCCGTCTCGTTCTGCGCCCGCGCCGCGGGGCCGCCCAGCGCCAGGGCCAGGAGCACGGCGGGCAGCAGCCGCCAGCCCATGGTCCGCACCCGCGGCCGCTCCGCGCCCCGCTCCGGCCACCGCGCACAGCGGCGCTCCCCGCCGGCAGCAGCGGCAGCCGCTCTGAAAGTCTTCTTTCTGCCGGCTTCTTCCCTTCTTTTATTTATTTATTTATTTATTTACCTCTCCGTCTTCTCCTCCTCCCGCCCGCCACCACTTGGTGCCTTTTTCTATTTTCTTTTTTCTTTTTTTAATTTACCTGGTCCTTTCTCGAGCTCTTTACAAAAGCAGCCGAACAAAATAAAGACTTTCCGGTGCACGCTTTTCTCCCCTCACTCTCCGCATCAAAAAAGAGATTAATGAGGAGAGTGGTAGGTAGGGGGGAAAAAAAAAAAAAAAAAAAAAAAAAAAAAAAAAAAAAAAAAGTCAGGTGAATTATTGATGAGAAACAGGTGACGAAGAAATGAAACCACTCCACGTTGCCATGATTTCTGCTTCTGTGTCCCTGCTTTGAGCTGGAGATGCGGGCGCTCACCCCGCTGTCTGATCCGGGTCCGGTACAGCTGCGGGCTCCGGCTGTCTCTGCCTCTCTGCCTCTCTCTCTCTCTCTCTCTGCCACAACCCCCAAAGACTTATGTCACAACGAGCCTGCCCGTCCCTCACCTAGCTGGGCTCCATTGGGATGGACTTTCCTCTCGGAATTGCCACCTACAGACGCACACACTCGTCCTCCCAGCCAACTTTTACGGCAGCTGCAAAGCCGAAGGGAAAGCAACAGATCAGTGCAACGTCTCTTAACGCCTCTTACAAGGAGGCGGGGGTTGGAGTTGCAGCCTGGTTGGGAGGCAGCATCTCAACCTGCAGGTGCCTCCCTGTGAGTTGCTCGGCGGTTTTGTTTTGGCACTGCACCCGGACCCGGCGCTGCCCAGCTGGGGCACTCAGAGCCTGTCAGCAGAGCGTGTCAACCACTACGAGTAGCCTTCATTCACCTCTTGTCCAGCAACCCCTGCCCGGAGCTGCCAGACCCAACTGGAGCTGCTGGAGCTGCGGCCATCAGCACTGCCCACACTTTCAAGAAGCCGTAGAGCAGCCCCAAAGTCCCCTTAGCCTACAATAAGTCTTCTGCCAAATTCTGAAAGCCAGATGCAAATTTTAAGGAATCCCTTAGCTCAGATAAGAGTTAAGAAATTGCACTGTTTTCTAGGAATGCACTGATATCCTTTTCTTCCAGTCACACCAACAGCGATGAAAAGTCAAACTGAGAAGAGGCGCTTGCTGTAAACAAGGAAACGAAGTAAGAAAGGAAACAAAGATTTGCATCATAACATTATTTCTTTTGTAGAAGTTGGATCTGCAGATAAAAGGATTTATGCCCACACACAGGAGCACCTGTCTGGAGAACCCTTGCAAAGCAGAACTGTGTGAAAACAGCAAGATTCTGCTTCACAATGTTTTGTAGATAAATACATATGTATAAATAATCCCACGCTGTTTCAACATCTCCCCCTTAACATCTCATTCTTACCTCATGCTGCTCCACAGCCTTTCAGCTGTGCACCACTCACAGCTAATATACATATGGCATAGATACACCTTCTGACTGGAATTTGAAACTTTTGACATTGTTGAAAGCTCCATCATTTGTCCAAAACTCAGAATTTTGCAGTCATTTCAGCCAGATTTGTTTCAGTGTCTTTTTGCTGTGAACAATGACATCATCTCTATGTGAAATGGGTGCAGGATGATGAAGGTTCAGAAGAGGACTTCCCCATCTCCCTGCTTGCAGCTGCACGCTCTAAGCCTGTTTGCCATCCCACTCCACTCCTTCGCATGCCATGGGGCTGATTGCACAGCCCCCCTCAGCTGAGCACTGCTCTCTTCTGTGCTCTTATCCCAGTGGTGTGCACACGTTGCTGTACACACAGGTTACTTCAGCTGTGCGAACACATTAGTAATTAAGTATACAGCCAATTACAGCTAACTGCTCTCCTGCACAGCTGGCCTCAGGACCTGCAGTTAGCTCGCTGGTTTGCTGGCTAAATGCAAAACCAGCTCACTTGGATAATGAGCTTGATGAGCCTTAAGAAGATTCAATAATTATTTTATAAAGTTCCCCCCAATTTGAACATTAAGTGTATGGCGATGTACACATGTACATGGCTGGAATGGCTAAAATAAACAAAAGCTTTTGCCCATGAAGTCTTCAGATGCAGAACCAAGCTGGCGTTTTCCTTGCTTCATTTTAATCTATTTCATAGACCTCTGTGTGTTTGTGTGTGTGTGTGTGCTCCATCTCTGGTGCCTTGCTTGGCTTACTAAGCTTCTTCCTTCTGTTCGTCTGTTTCGAACTTTGCTCTCATCACACCATCCCATCTTTGAGTGTTTCTTTTTGAAAGGATACCAGGAAAAAATATTTGTCTGCTCCTATTTTTGGTACTTGTTTAGTTTCCCTGGCATTCTGTTACAAAATGACAATGAACAAATAAATAATAGTGCTTTGATGACTGGAAATGGAATTTAGAAAGTGTGTGTGAATCTTAGAGGCAATTTACAAAATGAAGTCAGCAGGATGTCCGCCTGTGTGTGGGGGTACAAACGTTCAGCTCTGCTGACAGCATTGGCATTTCAGGTCTTTATTCAGCTTTCTCACCCAGCCAAACCCTCTGTTTGCTCAGTGCTGTAGACCTGAGCACACGCCAGACCTGAGCGCAGAGTGCACATCAGGGCTGCAGATGCTCCTGGGCAGGTTCTGCTGTCACGTCCAGCTGTTTGTTTCTGCTGCTACTGGATGGAGGTCTGCAAATAATCCACTGAGTCCAATACACTTAGTCCAGATTTACATCAGTAGCTGATACCCTGACAGTTCATTCTACTCCTTCATAGGTCAGTTGTTCACAACATCAATATGATGGTAAATTTCATTGTCAGTCGCAGCTGGGGACAGCCCACAAAGAGCTTGGCTTTTCTTGAGTGAACTGTTATTCAAAATCTATCCAGAACATCTCTTGCTAATTTATATGTATTCCCAAAACATTCATAAAAGAGTTTTTGTGGACTAAGACCAAAAAATGACCTTGTGCACGTACAGACATTTACACCTTTATAGCAGGTACTCAAAGCCCTATAACTCATAAGAAAGTAAATTAAATTCTTGGTTTATTATTACATTTCAGCTCATGTCTAGAAAGGAGAAAAAAAAGGAAAAAAAACCTCATTTTTGTGTTTTTAGCTAAGTTACCTGATACATTTAGTGCAGTTTTAGGAAATAAACAACTTTTGAGGCACTCTGTTGACCTATGCAATGGTCTCAGACTTTCAGTTGTGTTTGAATGAAACAAGAAGTGTGCATTTTGCCAAGGTGGAATAAAATCAGATAGGGTCAGCAAATAAGGGAAACAAATAGCCTGGCAGGAAAATTGTTCTTTTTCAGTAGGAGGGAAAAGGAAGGAACTCAGTTTGCTGCCTGCTCTGATCTTCAGAACCTGTTCCCCCAAGCAATGCAGGCACAGAATGCACAGGATGGAGTTTGCAAAGGATTCAATGATCTGCTGGCACTCAATTTAGCTTACACTGCTAAATTGTTGATACATTTTGTTGATACAGTTTGCCAGCACCGTGTCAAGAAAACCACAGAAAATTAGATAGTGAAGTGGTGTAATTTAGTGCATCTCCTTTGACATCAACAGAAGCTCACAGATTACCTCCCCTCAGCAGAACTTGTCCCAGAGAAATTGCTCACAGAGTGGCTTTCATAGCAAAAGCCAATGAGGGAATAGTTTGCTTTGAAGGATGTGCCTAAGAGAGTGCATTAGGAGTCTGTCCATTGGCTGCACTGCCTGTTTGATCTTCAGAAGGGAGAGATTGTACTGGAAGACTCATGATGATGATGGAAGTCATGGAGAAGGGCTCAGCATTAGGATTTTTAGTGCCATCTATTGAAATGTGCCAACTCGAACAGAAGAGACAAGGCTGTCAAGAACAATAAATATCTCTCTGTGGTAGTGAATGCTTTAAAAAGATACAAGGAAGAAAGTAATACGTTTATTTCACAGCTGAGGAGTCAAATCCATTGAACTCACCGATTTCTCTCCCTGGACTGTAGATGTCTTTTCCAGGAGACTGTTGTCTTATTTTTTTTTTTTTTTTTAACTCTTGTTAGGGAGAAATGAGGCTCCTCAGCTCACGTTCTGTGTTTCTTTTTGTCCTCAGCTGATAACCCCTGGAAACTGCTTCCTAGCAGTGTTTTGGAGAAGCAAAATACCCCAAGGACTACAAAAGCCATGAGCAGCCACTGTCTCTCTAGGAATGAGCCTCTATGGGTGCACAGCTCTGTCCTGAACAGAAGCAGTGTGAACTCTGCCTTCCATATCAACGGCCTCTCTTTTTATAAGCCAATGATTTTTCCACATAAAAAATACACAAACATCTCTTGAAGTATTGTCTGTCACTTCCATCTCCCCCTCCAGCCATCACGTTCCACGTGCAGCTCAGCAGCACTTGACTAATTTTGCACGGCTGTAAGGGGAGAGACTGAAGAAGACAAAAAAAAAAAACACAACAAAAAACCCAGTAACTTTTCTAAATGTGTAAATTTCATTCCCCAAGATGTCTGTTCTGGTACAGCACAGAGAAGCACTGGTCTGCCCAGCACTCTGCAGCTTCGCAGGGCTGCTCCATTGACAGCGGTACTTCAGCTCGCACAGTGCAGGCGGCACAGGTGGCTTGCGTAGGGCAAGTCCAGTAAATCCAGAATCAAAATGGTTTTGTTTGTTTTTAATTTCCTTAATCAGCTTAATTCCTAACAGCAAAGGAAGACGTCAGATTGTTTTCGATGGCAGGATTCCCAAAAACAAAGTTTAATGTCAGCTGTACTGACAGCAGTAATATCCTAGCAGGGATATTAGCCGGGAAGTATTTACTGCCTGAGAAAAGTTTCTGCTTTGAAATGAGTCAAGCAAATTTCTATCTATAATAACAAGCAGGACTGCATCCTCCTTCAGATTTCACATTTCATAATACGCCAAAGTAAGCTTGGTGCCTTTGTAGGGCAATAGTCAGCCCAAACTTACAAATACTACAGATCTGGAAGGCAGCTCCTTGTAGGAGTGCTCCATCTGGGTTCACTCCTGGAGCCTCACCTCACACATGGGCGTTTATGGCTGCAGGTTTGCAGGGTACTGCTGTCAGCTGCTAAGGAAGGATTCCACAGGAATTGTCTGCAGAGACATTTAGAGCTTGTCTATATAAACACTGAGGTGTAACAACTATTATTCTGTACAAACAAATGCCATTAAAACAGAGTGAGAGAGTTGGCTCAAAGAGACCTAGAAAAAAAAACACCAATATGATGCAAAATATTATTTGGGGGGAAAAAAGAATGCAGAAGGGAATGAGCTGTATTTGTTTCTTTTTACATATAAATCAGATGAGCTCTGACACTCACAGACACAGAAAAAATGCTTTGTTTGGGAAAATGGAAACGTGTCTCCTCTGTAAGCTCCCGTTCCTTGGGAAAGCTTCATGTCCTCTGGAGGGGCAGAGCTTCTTGCCAAGAAGGTATTTGGTCATTAATTTTTCAAATGATTGCTGCAGGATATTCATGCAAAGACACAGATATCAACTACTGTGTAGAATATATTTTTAATTGGAAGAAGCCATGCCAGCTGAGCTATAAAACAAGTACAAGCTGTTAGATATAATAAGAGAGAAAAGAGACTGAGGGGAAAAGTGAGTCAGGAGAAAAAAAAAAAGAGAAAACAACTTAGTTAAGATAGACTTCCCAGGACTCCTGAGCTAAAGTAATGGCAGAAAAACATAAAAGTTATCATGGCCATCACGAATGCTGTTCAGGGATGCAGGGATCTGGATACCATGGAAATGGCACTGGTAGGCAGTGTTATCTTACACGATTCACATATAAATGAAGATGGTTCAGATTTTGGAGAGGGAATAACACACATCAGAAACTGCAATGGTTGTTTATGATGTACACATGTGCTGGAAGAGGAACTGAATTTTCCTCTTCTAGCCAAAAAGCAGTAATCTTCAGCTCCTGACACATACAGATGCTATAGATCCTGATATACAAACACTGCTGACTTCAGTGCCAGCCAAGTGTCACTATTCCAATGCTGACTTTGTAGAAAACAAGCTTGTTTACTCTAAAACAAATTTTGCCCTCCATTTGCTTCTTTCATTTTTTCAGTTGGCTGGGTGGTTTGGAGGTGTCTATTGAGTCCATTGAGCCTCTTCCTCAATTTTTTAAAATTCCCCTGAGATGAGAGGTGGATTTAAAGCAGATGAATTAAGCAGTGATGCCCGCTGGCATTCACAGGAGGCTCCAGGTTTGTCTCTTAACCAAACACAGCTGGAAGAACAGCTGCATCCTTGCTCATCAGCACACCTGCACAACACCTGGCATCTGGATAGGGAGAAATCTCACATGGTACTGGAGGGAGCATTCTAATAGAGCAATTTTAGGCTTAGATGCTTCTAAGCATTTCAGATAGGATAGTTCTAATTTCTTGCAGCATTGAAGCCAAGGAGACTGTTCAGCATTTCTACCTGTTAGGCTTTCTATAAAAGCCAAAATGCCGAGAGAATTGGGCAGGCAGATGTAACATGAGTCAGAGAACACACATCACACATTTTATCAATCAATGCTGTAAGACTGGTAGAGAAAAATGCAATGTTTTATCAATGGCTTCATAGGACAATTTTCTGCTTTCAGTGTTCAACGCATCCCTTTTCGTTTATGCATTTACAGCCTTCCTTTTCTCCTTGTATTTTTGAGCTGCAAGTAATTATTCTAATTGAAAATATGGAAAAGCCAGCAAATGCAACAAAAGTATTTTCAGTTTTGAAAACCATCAATAATTACTTTCACTGTGCATTACTTAGATGCCTCATGTTTTTATTTCACTTCTCTGATATTGTTCTCTTCCTATCAATGCAAATTTCACACACTGATTGGCTTCCACAGTATTTTATGCAAAAAAAAGCAATGCTTTATTGTACTACTTTGGGGGGAGCCACCTGCCAGGTCCTTTCTCCATTAAATACTGAAGCTGCAGTGCTTTAATGGCTGAAGACAATCAAGATTTTTAGCTAAATGTATTAAAAAAAAAAAAAAAAAAAAAGAACTACAGAAAAAGAATAATTAAAAATTAGATCACCATATGTAAATTTATTCACTGTAAGTAACAGCTGAAACTCAGGCAGAAGACTGGATGTCAAAGACAAAAATAAAAAGAAAAATAAAAAACATCAAGAGTGTC